GCTTTCTGATGGCCGCCTTTGCCCGCACCCATCTCTTGCCTGCCGCCTGGGTTTCTGATCACCATTTTTCCATTCTTCCCCTTTGGCCTCCCATCATCGCAGGATATGCAAATTAGCCACCATCTTTGTTGGCGGTTAACCGCCATCTTTGCTGACAGCTAATTTGCATATACTCACTGATTAGCCAATGAAAAGGGTAGCGGTCGTACGCTAATTACCATGTTTCTCTTTTATTAGTGTAGATGGTTCCAAGTTTCATTAATGAGTTAGGCTGGTGACAAGCACATTTCTTTATTTCAAAATTGCATTTTTCCCCTTGCAACTCTGTGTGGTGATACTTGGCTGTAATGACAATATTCAGTTCCCCACTCATCTTTCATCTAAAAGTTGGTAATATCCTCTAAAGGTCTTTCCTTGAATCAATTATTTCAGTGTGGTACACTGATTTTGTGTGAATCATTTTTACTATTTCTATGTATAAATAAGTAAGTAGTGAATACTCCACTGAGACCAACAAGTCTCAGAGAAAGCATAGTTCAGAGGAAACAGCACCTAAATGGCAATCTTATTTCTCTTTTGGTTACTTGCAACTTCATTAAGGTTTAAATAAATCTCAAGGATGACTACACTGTCTTGTCAGTGGATGCAGCTATATTACGCTTGAATTTAAAGCAACATCTAATAGACACTTTTAAGATGCTAAATAACTTCAGCAATAACCTGGAGTGTAAGTGGATTACTCATTGTCCTGTCAAGTGGAATTCTTTGTAGAGCATGTTTAATGTTTATCAAAGCTGAGTATAAAGAATAAAGTAGAAAATAGTGTGGAAAAGCTAGTCATAAAGTCAAGTAATTTTTTCCCTCTAATTCTACAAGATTAGATTTAATATAAGTTTCAATTGGATTATTTGGAAATAAGAAATGTTGAAAAAGCTTTGAAAACTAGCTTGTTTGGGAGAAATAGTTGGCATTGAGTGGTAAAAATGCTTTTTTTGAGCAGAAGCTGCATTTCTATCAGGCACTTTTACTTAAACTTTATCTCTGCTTTGCAGGTGTACCTGGAAAGAAGGAAGAGAAAACAACCAAAGCAGTGGAGCAAGGTAAAAAAAAATGAAGGAGGTTGACACTATCTTCTTTAGAAAGACAACAACATGAGGAGGAAAGCCCTGGATTCAGACAGGCGGAAGACAATAAGCTTTAAATCTATGGCTGTCACTGTCCTCCATGTTTTTCTGTGCCAGGGAGAATGTGAGGCAGCGCGATCTGGGTTTTGCTCTTTTGTATAATTAAACTTGGAATATAAATTCAGAACAGGAAAACTCTGCAGACTGCTTAATTACATCAGGAAAGGCCCTGAAGATTGTTGGGAATAAGGAAATGATCCTCCGGGGCAACTGGTAGACATTTTTCAGTTTGATTTGTGGTTTTAACAACACCTGACCAAACCAGTTCAAAGAACAAAGATGAAACAATTCCATTTATGCCAAAACAATTTCTACTGCTTAAAGAACATGTAACAGTTAAAACAAAGATAAAAGCAGCAACAGAAGTAAGTTATTTGAGTTTCTATTATGACTTCAGCTATTGATTCTCCCAAGAGGTTTGAATTTTTTATTTTATCTGTCATAATGCTATAAATAATGCATTTTAATTTTTGTCTATGCAGCTATATAATACATATGTTCCTCCAGAATATGCTTGAGAAAAATGCTATAGCAGAGTAGCGTTAAAACATTTAAAATGATGTTAGGTCTTCTGTTAGATTTCAGAGTTCTACTAATTTTAATAGTTACCCCTGACTCACATTTTATATATTATAATATATTATTTACTATAATTAATAAATAAAATCATAACTAGCAATAATTTTTTCAAGAGTAAAGTAAAAATAATTTCTCCTCTTAAATTTGAGATGCAGTTAAATTTCTAATATCAGAAATTTAGTATTTTATATATAAATATATGCTAATATCCTTCAATTCCTCACATTTTAGACAAATAAACTAAGGTTAAGGATTCAGTTAAGACAGTTATTCAAGGATTTATTTCTTTGGTCTTTTCTAAATAAAAATCACATTGAAAATGCTTTCAAATTAATTTTGGCTTCTGGGAACTACCAGGAATGTCCGAGAATGTTTCTGCCAACTTCTTTTTGAAGTGAGTATTTTAGTCTCTGAATATATAAAGTGGAGGAGTAGGAGTACTAACTCCTAATTTCAACTTGTTCACTTAGACAAAGTTCTGAGCGTGAACTTCCTCTTTAAAAATGATGTTCATTATATCTGACCTGATTACCTGGCAAGATGTAGAGCCCAAATAAGAGGATTTGAAAAATTATAAATTCCTAGATAAACATGCAGTATTTGCTAAGTATCTTTTTCTTATAATATCAGCTTTAATATAGGTGAGATCAACTATCAAATTGCTTTCACTAAGCTGCATACATTTCACCTATATAGTGTAAAGGCTTTGATTACTTACCTTTTATGGTTTTTATAGGTTTCTTTGATAGCCAAAGCATATTAAGAGAAGGTTGACTAAAATATAAAATGGCTACACTAATAATAGTTCCTGAAAGGTAACTGATTTAAATAAATAGACTGTTTATTTCTTCTAACCTTCAAGTTAGTGTCATTTTCATTAATCCTATCATGTTTTCTCAAGTTGATAGGAGATTGAAAATGGCTTTTAGAGATGTGAACTTACTTCCTCATATGATTTTGTAATTTATATTTTTAAATAACAATACCTTTTATCTTATGAAGACCTTAAGTTCTTGACTTATGTAAAAAGTCTAAGAAGTTATTTCAATGGCTTTTTATATTGATTTAGTAAATCATTTCAGTTTTAAATATTGTCAAGCAATGGATTCATATTTTTCAACTATAAAAATCATAAGTAGAGTATTTGAATAACTGGCATACTTTATGATGGAATATCTATGACTAGTAATAAGTATAAAAATATATATTTGTGATTTTAATACAGCAGAGAGTTTATATGAGAATAAATCAATGACATTCTATAGATTTCATCATATTCTGATATTTATTCATAAGATGGTGCTTTCAGACTGTCGTGTACTTTTCTTCCTCGTATAGTTTTCAGCTATCTTCCTAAGTATGCGTAATCTCAAACTAGTTCACAATGCAGTGAAGTGCTATTAAATTCATTATAAACAGTTACTTTACTTCATTTTAAGTTTGAACTTATGAACTTGTGCAAGGGAAAAACTATATGGTTTTCATAATTCTTTATGGATGCCATCTTTACTTTGGGATCTATGTAAAATTGTGTACATTGAACTTCTGGACTTAGTCTGCATTATAATTGGAAAAACTTGTGAAACATTGATTAAACTAAACTTTATAGGAAATTCAGATAGTGAAAGATGAACCATCTTTATGTTAATGTTAATGTAACTTAGCAAGCTAGACATTATATCATATAAGAAGTAGAAATTTGATTAGTATAACTTCTGCAAAAGTCCAAAAAACGAACTCTATTTTATCTTTAACTCACAATGAATCATTTTTTAGTTACTTTTTTCATAAAGATCATAAATTGACTAGAATAGAGTATTGAGTATTAAGAAACTCTAACTTCTTTCACCTTCAAGGTGCACACCCAAATAGTCACACACATACACCTTGTTTCTTCTTGTTTCTCCTTGTTTGGAAAGCAGTTACCAAAAGCATCAGGAGAAACAAATGTTTTCCACAATAAATGTCACTATCCTTTTAGTAAGAACTAGGGACTGCCAAAGATAAAACATTTCAACACACGTTACTGTATGAGGATTCATTCACCTTTATATATTTGTATCTCTGCAAAGAGTACATCACATTTATTAATCTCAGTTTATTCATTTGTTAATATTTAATTTCTTATATTTAATGTACATTTGATATTCCTTTTCAAAATTGACCTGCCCTCCTAAATCCCATTTTCCTCTCTTTTTTTCAATCTCACTTTTTCTGAGGAAAAAAATTCTTTAATAATATTTGCTAGTTACTAGCCAGAGGAGCAAAATAATCACTCTCAAGAAGTGGCTTGCTACTTACTGGGGCAAGAAAGGAGACCCGTCAGGATAATTAACTTTAAAAGATTGGAATCCCAGAGTCTCTTTGCTTTTAATGTTTTCCTTCCAAGTGACTTATGTTCAATAGTGAAAAGGTGAAGTAAATAGTAATGAATTAAATCACTCTCAAATCATCTTTCCTTTTCTTTTATTCATGCCTGTGTATGACATCACTTTAGGTCTTCTATGAGAGTCTGTTCTAAGAGCTTATAACAGTGCTGGCATATAAGAAGTGTTTAATAAATAGTTGCGGGGTGAATGAAAACAGAGCGGAATTGTTGAAGGAAGAAATATTAGGTGATCCAGACTTTAGTGAACTGTGCCTCTATAAATACTGTGCACTTAGAGTGTTTTAATAAATCAAAACATGATTTCCAATATTTTAGAAACCAGAAGACAAATGATGAAATCCTTCAACTACTCCCATTTGAAAGTGGAAATAGTAGAGAAAAATTAATATATATGCATTGTTAATTACATTATTAATGTTATTTTTGTAGAGAGTACTCTTACATAAATAAAACTGCATATGCAGTCATCGTCTGGTTAAAGATATAGAAAATATTAAATTTTAGTAATTGCAACTATTATATTGTAAACTAATTTTTGAGACTGAAAGTGGAAGAGAAAATAAAACAATTGTCCAATGAGGGCAATATATGAGTCTAAATATAGAAACATTAAGCCTTATCCTTGCTTTTGTTATTTCTACAATTATGAAGCTGAGCCTAGATTATCTCTTACTCCTTCTAAAGCTCAAAATTATCTAGTCAACCAAGGTTTTAAGTAGTATGTTTCTTATAGCAGAATATAGAATCTTTTGCTTCTTTAAGGAAAGACTGATGTAGAAAGAATTTCATTTCTAAGATGTTAGGGAAAAACACAGTTTCTAAACTTGAATTCTTATCGATACTTCATTATCCCAAAACTAAACTGAAAGTTTCATTACAGAAATATTAAGTATAGTTCCATACTCTTAATTAAAAAATCACTTCAAATTCGATTAAGTGGAAGCATGACAAAAATGTTTATGAAAAAACATTAATAGAATTGAGTGCCTATTAACACCCCCTAGAAATAAATTTAAACAAATTAGTAATCATTTTGTAAGGGGTAAAATTAGAGAATGTGGATCATAAATGTATCGAATGCAGTGATTTCCTGTAATAAAAACATCAATTTTGCTTTAAATTAAGAAATGTTTCTAAATTCATAAATTTGTGTCCATCTGAAGAGTTTCTGTCTTTCTTCGCCTCTGATGCTATTTTGTAAGCAACAGTACCTTATATAATTGTATTAGTGTTTTAAATTGTCACAGCAGCAGGTGAAACTCAAATGCTATTCTATGATTTGTAAATTTGTTCTCATCCACCTTTCTAGATTCTTCTATTCTTTGTATCTGTACTGGTCTATGTAGAATCTGTGATGTGTACCTATTGCAATTTTAGCTCATACTTTCAAGTGAGTGTTAATATCTAAGAGTAACAATTTCCCTGAGAGAAAGTTATTTATTTAAATGCCGAATGTTCTTATTTCATGGTGTGTCAACATTATTTTTTTAAAAAAAAGTTATAATTAATATCTATGGAGTAAAACTGAACATTTAGTTAATACAAGTTGTATTAAATTATTTGCTTAATATGTGATTACAAAATAACCTATTTGCACATGTGGACTAAGTCATGCTGTTGACTCTCAATAAATGTTAAATGATAACAATTTACTATTGATTCCTGTGAATTCCAAACTTCTTAACAATAGTTTACACTTTAGTTGTTTAATATTTATTGAGCGCTCACAACAGACTAGGCACTGGGGAATGGGTGTGAAGAGCATGGAGTGAGCTTCAGAGAGAAGATGGTCTACATAAGGAGCCCACGCAACACCTGTACACACGAGTGTACTCTGCTTATTTATATGTCTGTGTCCATTGGTTAGGCTTATATGCATGCATGCAAGTCCTTTGGTTGATCTCTATCTTCAAGAGAACCTTTGCAGTATTCCACGGTCTCACCTGCT